TCCAGCTCCACACTGTGTTATCTCTGACTCCAGCATTGGCAGTTCTTACTGTCTCCACGTAACTATTTAGTGCTATTTTGATACTTCTAATGGTATTTCATTCAGTGGACAATTTTTATATGAATTTTAAAGGAAATAGTTACAAATAGACCTGATAATTTAACTTTTGAATAAGAATGTGAGAAATGATTAATGGTTGGATTATTTCAAATAAGTAGAACCTAAAATTCTTTTGCCTGATTTGGATAATTTGAATTTAGCAGATTAACATGTTGCATAATGTATTATTCTACTATACTTCCTTGGAAACTAATATCCTGATTGTTAATTTTACATTTCAATTTAAATGGTGTGGAGATGAAGCTAACTGAATGTGAACAAATCTTTGCAAAATCCTTTTCCTGCGGCTGTTGACCCTTATTGTAGCGTCAAGGAATTATCTCATCAGGATGTGAACTGACTGCCAGGCAACCAATCAGACAAGTTGTTAGATAGTAGGATCCCCTAATTCCTGGATCTGAGATGTTTCTGTCATTCTTTAGACTGTTGAGTCTCAACTTGGCAAAGGACAAGTTTCTAGATCTCTAGTTTTTCAAGCAGTTAAATAACAATTTCCTGGAAACTGCGTGATGTGTTCCGAAAGGCACAGTTAAACATAAAGAAAATTGTTTAAAAAATACTATCCTTGAAATTACTCCATGATAGTTAATTATCAACTACTTAATACAGTCTTCTTTAAATTTATTTTCTGCTATTTAGAGGATGTGTTAAGCCTGTTAATTTTTTTTTATTTTGGAGAGAGAGTGTAGGCTTTTGTCTAGTAATATTCAGAAGAGAAATTTTAGACGAATGGGAATGGATTCACAATATAATTTCAGGTTAATTATTCAAATCAAGATAATGGGGGAAGTTTGAGGAAACAAATAACATGTAAAGTTTGAGCAAAAAATATTTCATAGAAGGATCAGGAGAGAAAAAGATGATAGAAAGGCTTAGGGTTCCATAATAAGCCATTAAAAAGTTTTTTTTTTAGGTTGAGCTGTTTCTAATCTCTAAATAGCTTTTCAACTTCTGAATTTCGCAAGCTCCTTAAAAGGCCAACTTTCATGGACAATGTATTAGTAAGGGTATTGTAATGATTGGAAAGAGGTTGGCCAGGTGCATGTTATTGATTGGGTTTGTTAACATGGGGCCAAACAGGGAGTCTTGGCTGACAGATATAAACAGGAATCTGAGGAATTCTCCTCACTCTAGGGACTGGCTCTGAGCTAGCTGGTTAGAGTCTGTGGCATGCGTGCGTGCAAAGGTTGACTTGGTGATGGGATACCAGCCTCCGTGGAGTTATTTTGGGTAAATAACTAAATGAATGTGTGGCTAAATACGATATGAATTTAGAAATTAGGCCTTTTCTATGCATTAGAATAAGTTGTCAGTTGTTAACGGCTGTGTTATCTAGAAAGCTAGAGTTGTAATTCATGAAAGGTTAAGGATATGGTTGTGATGTGAAGTTGATGATCAACACTTAAAGATAAGCTGACAGAGTCCAGGAGGAAGCAATCTTCATTAGCCTGAGTTAGCCAGGAATACAGAAGATATGGTGAATCAGAGAAGAATAAAGCAGTAGAAAAGAAGCCAGTATTGATATTTTGCAATCATGGAACTAGCCAGTTGTAGAGTGCCAGACGCTGCATATAGATTCCAGAGAATTTGGAGGGCAACAACTATTGATTGTGACAGATAGCCACACTTAGAATGGTTTGAAGGCTTTCCAATTAATTGAACAGCAACTCTCAAAACTCTAGACATATTGCCCAGTTTGTTTGTAGTTTGTGTTCACAGAAGAAATTTTGTCTGTCCAATGATGTTAGTTTTGTTTGAGGAGTTTTCAAATTTCGTAAGAATAAATGGGGTAAAACCACACCGTGCTGCTTCAAATGAAGCACAAGAATGTGTAGGATTACTTGTTAAGCTTACTGTTGTTAAAGAAACACGAGATACAAATTGGAAGAAACATTCAATGTCATTGAATGATAGACCAGTGTATGCTTTGTTTATTTATCAAAAGATACTTCAGTCTGCTACTGACAGAGCACCAAGTTAATTCATTCTTAGAAGACCAACTTAGAATGATTTTTCGCAATGGTAGCTACATTTAGCAAATAAGAGTCATAGTTAAGGTAGTGTGAGAAAAATAAGTCTGCAGTTGAACCAGAAGGTTAAAGTGAAAGACCATCATCAGAAGTGACTAAAGCAGATACTAGATAGAGTTACAAATATATGTCGGCATCACACGTATTTGGCTAACATGTTTTCTAGTGACATGGTAGGTCTATACATATGGATCAAGTTTTACCTTTTAAGAGGTTTACAAGAAGGAAGAATTTGGGATGAATCAAATGAATCCAATGAATTAGAGAGTTGGGAGGGAAAACTGCTGGGTACAAAAATTACCCCAACACAAGCTCTGCTTGAAACCAGTTCAGATTGTAGTCAGTGTTTGACAGATTTGTTTGAAGTGGAAAATTCAAATGGTAAAAGGCAAAATCAAGCACTGTTTGGGGGGGACAAAGTCTTCTTCTCAGACTCAAGCCAAAATGAGTCAGGGTCCTTTCCATATTCATAAAGTTTGACAAGGAAATATCTATCCTCTTAGGAATAGGAAACCAGTGGTCAGGTTGGGTTTGTAAAGAAGTGAAAAGCAACAATATATTTATGTTCTAGGTAACAAGGAAGTGGTAGATGCAGGTACAGTGACAACATTTAAAAGACATTTAAATAGGTTAATGAATTGAAAGAATTTAGAGGGATACAGGCCAAATGGAAGCAAATAGGTTTAGTTTAGTTTGGGGAAACTCGATTGGCATGGACAAGTTGGACCGAAGGTCTCTTTGCATGCTGTATGACTATATAATTTGAACTTCTGTGTAACCCTTCATGAAGTGGGGTGTGTGGTAGCTCTCTCTTGTGGCCGTTTGTAGACATATGTACATTAGGAAAGGGGAATAAACTAGTTTGGCTCAATATGAGTTCCAGGTGTGCACTCCAGTGTTTCTGACCTGCAAAGATATCCACATTGCGAATCTTCTGAAAAATATACTGTATGAACATAGTGGTATCATAAAATCGTCAATGAACCAGCACAAACAGGCAATGTTTCTGAAAATAAATTCTGAAAAGTTGTATTTGTAAAATATGCTTGAAATATTGTAGACCTAAGGTGGTGCAGTTTTATTAATAGAGCTGAAAATGGATTCTACATATAAAAAGAATTTAATCAGACTTCATAGTTCACCACCTATGGGTAAACTAATTATTAATAAGCATTTTCGGAAGCAAAAAGATTCATGGCATTGTGCTGTACTCGGTTTCTTTGTAAATGAAGAAAGTCATATATTTAAAACCTTGTGAAGTTACGTCTGTTAATGCCATTAATCTTTCAAAAAATGCTTAATTTTAAGAAAATACCATGATGACACATATACATGGGCAGGTCAAATCGACAGTTAACAGAAAGCCACAATGCTGATGATTTGTTCTGAAGATATTAGAATCAAGAATCATAGAATTCCTACAATGTGGAATCAGACCCTTTGGCCCAACAAGTCCACAATGACCCTTGGAGCATCCCACCCAGACCCATCTCCCTATAACCCACCTAATCTACACATCCCTGAACACTAGGGGCAATTTACCATGGCCAATCCATCTAGCCTGCACATCTTTGGACTGTGGGAGGAAACCGGAGCACCCAGAGGAAACCCATGCAGACACGGAGAGAATATGCAAACTCCACACAGACAATTACCCGAGGCTGGGATCAAACCTGGGTCCCTGGCGCTGTGAGGCAGCAGTGCTAACCACTGAGCCAGCATACCACCCCATATTGCCAGCTTTATAGGAGAAACTGGCTCAAGTGAGATTTTATTAAGTCAGTGTAAAATATTGTGCAAGCTCAAATTGCAGTGGATATAATTTGTACTAAAAATGTATTGGTTTGGCCAATTTTTGTTTGAAGTGAGCTGGAACTAGAAACTCCTACTTTTTTCATTTAATAACAAAAAAGATCTGATATTTCAAGAGGATATTCAGTTCTCAACTGTGTTAAATCATCTGGATGTTCAAATATGCTGAGTTTTTAAACAAAATTAGTTCAGATAAATCCAACAATGCGCATTCACAATGTGGTTGTAAAATACCTTATCAGAAAATGCAGACTTTTCAAACCATGGAGTCATGTTATTGTATTCAGTGGACTCTCAATTAATAATTGTTCAACCTGTTTCATAATTCCTTTTAACAAAGATAGACCCATCATTGTTGAAAAAATCTAGTTAACAACAATCGAATGTCTGTTATATAGTATTCAGCACAAAGCCTACACGATTCACTACAATGTAAGATCTGGTTTTACCTACATGAATACATATACCCATCAGACAGTTGTTTATTTTACCCATCATTTGCCCATCAGGTTACTGACTAGACGTGACATTCCTGTTCCAGAGAGCTATGCTATTCCATACTATATGTTATTCTTCAGGCAAACATTAAGAGGTGCAAAGAATGATTTCCTTGCAGTGTCTCCCTGGACTAATTTGGCTAATTATAAATTTCACATCCAGACAATTTTGAAAGCAGTGAGAAGTGACAGGCATTCAGTTAAGTTTGTTTTTGTAAATTTAATTTTATGCAATGTTGCAAAAAGATTTCCTGTAATTTTTCAATCCTGTCATTGTACTTCCTTTTATGATGCACAATGGTTAGGAAGCAAAGCATTAAGTAGTACCCTTTGTACAGACTAAAAGCATTCTTTTTATAAGAGAAATCCACATCAATATTATGGAAAATGCTTAAAAATAAACAAACTGCATATGGTGATGGGCATTTGAAAGAAAAACCTGTAGTTGTAATATATTACTTTATTTTTTCTGCATTAGCATTTTATCCATTCTGCTCTTGCCAGTAACCTTAATCATCTTCTTCATATATTCTTTCCTTAGCCGGAAGAGCATGTGAATGGCCAAAGACACCTTTGCTGATTTTGCCACCAGTCCTACCCCATGGCTTTGCCAACATCAGGAGGTAATCTTACAGTGTGAAATGAGTAGATTTCTGGTTCAATCATGTTTTAAAAGCACTAGTACGAAAAGAAGAAAAAAAAATTTTTAATTCTTTGAACTGTATGCATGAATTGCAGTTGCTGCCAGTTAAGATTCTGAATTATTTCTCTAACAGACGTTCTCGTGTTTGTTCGTGAGAAATATGTAGATTATGGAACTACACAGGTGCCCCTATATAACCTAATAAGCCTTTTCTGTGACAAGTTCAGCCAGAGCTATGGTCAGATTTGTACTACGATAACTGTAGTTTTTGTTTTACATCAATGTTGTAGTGTAAGCCATGTACAATCCTTTACTGCACTACAAAATAGAGTCATAGAGTCTTACAGCACTGGAACAGACCCTTCGGTCCAACACATCCATTCCGACCAGGTTTCTCAAAATAAACTAGTCCCATTTGCCTGCATTTGGCCCATATCCCTGTAAGCCCTTTCTGTTCGTGTACAAATGTCTTTTTAAATGTTCTAACTTTACCTGCATCAACCATTTCCTCTGGCAATTCATTTCGCATATGAACCATCCGTCTGTGACAGAGATACCCTTCAGGTCCCTTTTCAATCTTTCTCCTCTCTCCTTAAAATTATGCTGTCTCGTTTTCAACTCCCCCACTTAAACTGGAAATGAAGATATATTAAATTCTAATCTTTGATTGCATTTCCCACTTTATCATTATTTTTGCTGATGTCAATGCTATTTCCTACTTCTCTCATCAAGATGACTTTGGTTTCCTGGGATGTAATGACAAATCTTTTTTCTGTAGAATATTATGGGTAAATGACAGAATTGAAAGGAGAGGCTTTTGCTTTAAATTTGTTACTATATTCATACTGTAGATCAATGTTTTTGTTCCCATAGTTTTTGTCAGGAAGTTATTTATATCCTAATTAACAATGTTCATACAATGCCAGGATATGAGCAAGAACACCTTTTTGTTATTTCTGGCACATTAGATTGCATGAGTAATCTCAATATCTTAAAAAAAAATTATTAACTCAGTGGTTCAGAGAGGACCTTGACAGCTCCACTTTTGATGAGAATATTTCCTGTTCAGACCTCATTATATTGTATGATGTGATTGTTCCACTTGGACTTTGCATATTTGCAATACTCATCAAAAACCATAATGGTTTTCTTTAGCAAATGATGACAGAACTCTAATATCCCAAGTAAGCCAGTACAGCATTCTTTAATCATAATAAGAAGCCACATTACAATTTTACTGAAAAGTGAATAATTTCATGAGATATATTGCTTAAATATTGGGTTTAGTTACTATTTAATGGGCGGCATAACCACAATCCTTCAATCTCATGGCAATAATGTACTGAAATATCTTTACACAGATGCTGTCTACTCCATTTTCAAGTTTCCCGTCTGAAGCATGATACTCTAATCAGATCCTTTTAGCCATATCTCTGGTACAACTATTAAATGTTGTTGCAGGTTGATTTGGTAGAAGTTATGCTAAGGTAGTTTCAATTTACTTTATAGATATTTCCAAATCTCTGTCCAAGATGGTTGTTCAACTAAGTTGCACTCAGTTTAATGTTTCATCTAAAACAGTCATAGGTGACTTTAATCATCATGTAGATTGGAAAAGTCAGGTTGGAAGAGATAGCCACGAGGAAGAATTCATAGAATATATTTGGATTAGATTTCTAGAACAATGTTTTGTGGATCCACTCAGGGATCAAGACAGTTTTAATAAATGATCTCAGAGTAAAAACATCATAAAGTTATTCCAGTTTTTTGAGGAGATTACTAGCCATTTAGATAGAGGGGCACCAGTAGATGCAATATTTTTAGATGTCCGAAAAGATCTCTTTAAGCTTAAAAAAAGGTGGTAGTCCATGGTGTTGGGGGTAGTATATTAGCATGGATAGAGGATTAGCTAGCTAATAAAAGACAGCATTGGGATAAAGGGGTCATTTTCAGTAAAGCAACCTGTAACTCAGTGTGACAGATCAATGCTGGGGCCACAATTACAGATAAAATGTATCGATAATTTGGATGACAAAAGTGATTGCGCTGTATTGCCAAGTTTGCAAATAACATGAAGATAGGTGGGAATGCAAATAATGAGGATGGCATAAAGAGTTTTGAGGGATACACACAGGTTAAGTGAGCTGGCAAAAACTTTTCAGATGAAATACAATGTGGGAAAATGTGAGGTTATGCACTTTGGCGGGAAGAATAGCAAAGTTGAATATTATGTAAGTAAGGAAAGACTATGGAAAGCCACAGTTCAGAGCAATATGTAACATATAAGATTTTTTAAGGGGTTTGACAGGGCAGATGTGAAAAGATTGTTTCCCCTTGTGGGAGAATCTTGGACCAGAAGGCATAATTTCAGTGAGGGATCTTTCATTTGAGGCAGAAATGAAGAGGAATTTTCCTCTCGATAGTTGATTCTATGGAATTTGTTATCATAGAAGGTAGTTGAGGCTGGGTCATTTAAGTATGTTCAAAGCTGCTATAACTAGGCTTCTAATTATTATTAAAGGAATGACGGGCATGTGGATAAAGCAGGAAAGTGAGGTGAGGATTGTCAGATTAGCCATGATCTCATTGAGTGGCATAGCAGGCACCATGTGCCAAATGACAACTTCTGCTCCTTTGTCTAATGGTTTAATGGCCTTATGGTACCTTCAGCAATGCAGCATTTCCTGAGTAATGCAGCAGAATGTCACCCTAGATTTTCTACTGAAGTATCTGGAGTGGTACTGGAATCCACAACATTTTAAATCAGAAATACAAATGGCTCCAGTCATGGCTGACACCTGAGATATTGAAGGTTTTCCTGTTTACATTATGCCAGCATACATTGAATGTTTATCCCTCTCCTATTGATCCAAGCTTTGTTTGCTCACAGAACAATCATCTTAGCTAATTTAGTGATGGTTTGTCAGCTACTGGTCACTGTGTATTGTGAAAATGACTGGAACTGTACCAGTCCAGTTCATGTATCATCTGTACTTATTTACTTATACTAGTTCCTGGTTTAAAAATATCAATGCTATAAAATTCTCAACATTGATTTTATAACACTTAATGGTATTGCCCCTCACCTTTATAACCTTCAGCTCTACAACCTTCTGAGATCTCTGGACCATTTGAATTTTGATGTCTTGCGCATCCCCACTCTTCATTGTTCCAACACGAGCAACCACACTTCTGGTATGCCCTCCCTGACCTACTTCTGATTTGTACATGTATATGTTCATATGTATATTTCTATGTAGCATCATTTCTGTTTTCTCCTTCTAGGGCATTGTTTAAAACCCAAAAATTGTGATCAATACTGCCATTCTAATATTTCTATATGTAGTGCAGTGTCAAATATTTTTCTGGTAACACTTCTGTGAATTTTCTGAGGCGTTTTAATTGTGTCAAAGGTGATGTGTAAATGAAAGTTGTTTTTGAACAATTGCAATTAAGGATGTTTTCGTTGTGAAACATGCTCATTCTTTGCTGTGGCCATTTCTATATGAGATGCATTAAAAATAGACTGGCAGAAAAATGAAAATCTTGCATTATCTTTCATTTTGCTAATTTGTAACCCAGTTTAAAAAAATCATCCGAAATTAGCATTCTTATTTTCAATAAAATGATTTGAAATATCATCGTTTAAGCTGATCTCCAGAACGGTGGTTTTTCTGAAATTCATTCGTGGGATGTGGACATTACCAATCCCTCGTTGTCCTTGAAGATGGTGGTGAGGTGTCTTCTGGAGCCGCTGCAGTTTATTTGTTGCAGGTACACCCCACAATGCTGTTAGGGAAAGTGTTTCAGGCTTTTGACCCAGTGGTACTAAATGATATATTCCCAATCCAGGATTTTGAGTGGCTTGGAGGGGATCTTGCAGATAGTGATATTCCCATGTATTTGCCTCCATTGTTCTACTGGATGGTAGTATTTGTGGGTTTGGAAACTGCTGTCTAAGGAAATTTGGTGAATATTGTACGCATATAGCTATTATCGTAAATCATAGTGCCTTTTGTAATTTGAAAAGATTCCAGATATTTATTTATTTCTTTGATATCTGCAATTATTTACTAACTATTGGTGTGACACCTAATCTCTTTTAACTGTGCACAACTGTTCCTCACCCCTTGGGATTAGCAAATTAATGTAAATAATTAGGTTTTAGTTTGGTGTCCTTGTGGATTTATGTCAGAGGTTAATTTTTTTAAAAGGTTGTCTCTGTTCACTCTGAGATGCTAAGAATTATTGCCATTGTAACGATCGTTCTAAGGCATCTTAATGAACTGCTCTAGTCTGTGATAAAAGTATTCCCACAGTACTATCAATGAGGAAATTACAAGATTTGGATTATAAAGGTATGTTGACTATATGGCCGAGTCAGAATTGTGTGTTACTTGAAAGAAAACCGGGGAGGACTATGATTGCATTAAGAAGATGAGAAATATGAACAGGGCCAGGTGTTATGACCCCAGAGCCCCTCTGACATATAATAAGGTTGTGGAATATTCATCCCAGCTCGACTTTTCTGACTGATCTCCGCATCTTCTGATTTCCATAGCTTCTAAGCATCTATAATCTCAGTCTTGAATATGCTCGGTGACAGAATATCCACAACCCTTTTGTGGTCAAACATTCCAAAGATTCAAAATTCTGTCTGACATGATGATCCTTTATCCTCAGATTTTGTTTGCTCATTCCAGTTTCTAGACAGGAGAAATGATCTCTCCGCATCTATTTTGCAAGCCCTCACAATAAATGAGGTCATCTCTTGTTCTTCTGAGCTCTAAAACTATAAATCTATTTTACTCGCTGACTCATCATTGAATAACTTCCTGTGCATTCGAATGAACCTTTGTTGTCCTTTGTCCAATGAAAATATGTCCTACTGGGGCCAAAGCACTGCACAGTATGCTTGTTCTAGTATCACGAAGGATTTTGCAATTGCAGCTATAGTTCCTTACTCTTGTACTCCAAATG